GTTCTTTTTATAGATAAATCAGGAAAATGAACAAGCCAAGAAAGATGGAAGGTCCCACAAACACCTACAGCAGAAGAATGGATTATTTAATGGACTTGGTTTAAATGGCAAAACTAACAGTATTAATAAGATATAATATTGTTTTTTAAATTCGTCTCCTTATGGCAACCCTTCTTAGATTACATGCTTGTGGAGGGGGGGGGGGAAATGAAAGTGTTGATTGTGGGTTTTAATAATTAGGTGGTTTGTGTTGATAGAAATAATGTGAATTTGGATTAACTACTGGTAAGAGATTAACTTTTTTAAAATTTGTATTTATATCTGTATGGAAGATAGTAGGAAGTTGCTTTCCGTTCTATTCTATCTATCTTCACTATTTTAGTTTTTGTCTTTTTTCTTTTAGTTCTATTTTCTTTCTTTCCTGTATTCTCTTTTTTGTTTTTAATTGTATTTGTAATATAATATAATAAAGTTCTTATAAAAAAAAAAAACAAGTAGTCACATTGTTCAGATAATGCTTAAATGAGGACTTTGCTTCCCTAATAACTTTATTCTGTTCTTTTATAGTCAATGGAAGGACTTTCTTTCCTTTGATGCACATCATGGAATAATAGTCCCTTATGGGAATGAGACTAGAATCTATTAATAACTGCATTTATTGTTATTTTACTTCTTCCTGGTACTTTACCAGTTTGATACGGTGTCCTGGTGTAGTTGTGATTGCCCAGGTACATTCCTTTTTGCTTGGGTATTTATCAGGCCAGTTTGGGCTGGTGATGGTTGCAGTGATGGTTGTCATCTTGTGATCACAGCCAGCTAAAAGAAAAATGAATTCATCAATAGACAAGTTCCAAAAGATTTCCTTTCTAAATCAATCCTGTTTGCATTTATCCATCAAATGTAGAGTCACCATATTGAGCTGTTACCAAATTTGACCTCAAAGAACGACAGTGCCCTTAAACCAGGTTTTAATCATACTTACTGAACCATATTTATCCATCTGAACCATATGTGTCCATCAAGTCTGTACTGACTTTATTTTATAGCATTTCAGGGAGAGATTTTCCCAAGACCTGCAACCTTGAAACTTTTAAACTGAAATTGGAATCTTCTGCATGGAGAGGACATCCTCTACCACTAATTAATTGTCTCATCCGGACAAGAAAATATCATGGGATGAATAGTCCAATGGACAGCATTTTCTTCAATATTCTGTAGAACTTTTAATGAATACACTTTAGCATTTATTCTGTTCCCTCCTAGAACAATTTTTAAAATTTCACTTGCCCTCTATTAATTTTAAGAGGGGATCTAGTAAGGTTAAGAATGTTGAATATTGGCTTTTGTTTTTAAATTATATCAAGCTGCTGTTGTGATTTCTGCAGCACAGCATACTCCAGTGGTTTGCGGAATGCAAATTCCCAAATTTCCAGAATAGTCATCTGGTATGAGAGTTCTGGGAGCTCTGGTCCCAGCACAACTGAAGGATGCCAGATTGGGGAAGACTCTGAGCTTCAGGAGAGGTAAACGACAAAGATTACAAACAAATGCTTTCCAAAAGAAGTGAAAACTCATACTATTTTTTTCCACTGATACCTCTGGCCTAAAATCATCTACTCTGACAAATTGTAGCTTTCCAAGACATGTGGCAGAGAGTGTGGTGATGGCAGTATCTAGATCAATGTTTTTCAAACTTGGCAACTTTAAGATGTGTGGAGTTCTGGGAGTTGAAGTCCACACATCTTAAAGTTGCTGAGGTTGAGAAATACTATCACAGAATATGGAAACAAGAAAGAACATGATAGCCAACAAATATGGAAAAAAACAGCATGGTCATATAGATAACATTTAGTGGATGATGGAAAGAGCAAGACAGCATCAAAAAGAGCTCTAGTTCTGTTTTATGCTGCTCCAAAGCTTTTGATATGTTGATCATTCAAGACATTGGATGTCTTTCAAAGCAATGGGTACATCTTGGCATCTGATTCTTCTGATAAGAAATCTGGACAATAACCAGGAAGCCACAGAATTGCATTAGAAAAGGAGTCAGCCAGATCTGCACTCTGTGGAGTCCTTGGGGTTCTCTGAGCTTGTTTTCTTGCAAACGTTTCGTTAGCCAGCTAGGTAACATCTTCAGTTTTGGGTAACAACCCTGAGCTACACAGAACTGCACTCTATCACCATACCTGTTCAATCTATGAAGTCCACACATCTTAAAGTCGCCATGTTTCAAAAACACTGATCTAGATTGTAGGAGCTTCTCTTGCAAAGACATGTGATGCAAGCATATTGGCATGGATATAGAGAGTATCCATATAGGCAGATAGCTTGACCCAAATAATTTTCTTTGCATATGGATAGAAAAGCATTATGGCGGTAGTCTTTGGAGACCCAACGGGAACCCTTTTCATTAAGGAAATAAGGTGAAATACCTTCTTTACAGTCATGCTTGTTGTCATGCAGCACAAAGCCGCTACGGCACTGGCATTCATAACTGCCAAAAGTGTTGAGACATTCGTGTTGGCATCCCCCATTATCCTTCGAACATTCGTCTTTGTCTAGGAGAGAAGTGTCAATTGCTTAGCAGGCTGCCCCCTATAGAGTAACATGATCACTGCAGGCAACTGGCCTACATCCACATCAACTCAGTAATGAAAGAAAAAAAAAGACAATTTCTTCCTATCTCTGAACTTCTTTCCTAAAATCTATGTCTTACCACATTCTTTGCAGCCTCTTCTTCAGTAGGAGAGTAAAACTCAGTGAAACACGGAGCCGGTTTATTCAATAAGTGGAATAAAATAGTCACTTTCCTGTTTTATTAGTCTATAGGCATTGTGCACTTGAATTTTCCCACGCCTCTACAAATTATCCGCAGATAATTATGGAGTTGTCAAGAGGACTTCAGCCTAACTTTCTCTCTGGCACTTGACTCTGATAATGCTGTAACTGGGTTTCTCCTATTGCTGTGTGCCTCCTCATCTTAGTCTTGGTTATATCCAAAATAAACTGTGGTTACTGTTCTTAAGCTGCGTCTCTATAACTGCTGCTGTATTGCCCTGAGGTCTTCTCAGAATTTGACTTTTCCAAGTCAGAGCAAGCTACAAAGCCACAGCTGCTCCCATGCTTAGCCACAACCAGGCTGATCTAGAAATAAAGGTATAAACAGCAAAATCAGCATTCATCCAGAAGGGCAGCAAGTAAGAGAAAGCCAAACCGTGTCCACAATTCTAACCAATGAACAGCCAAAGTCACATTTACATCTAGAATGGGCATAACCATTACCTGCTTACTGAACAGATGACTGAGTTTAAAAACAGACACAGTGACAACAAAGAGATGCAGAAAAGAGAACAGGACATGACGTCCCTCTTTACTTATCAACAGTAAATGTCACAGACACAATAAAAATGCAAAACAAAATCAGCTGGTCCATGACAAACCAGAGGAATTAAACGTTTCAGGGCATTAATTATTATTATTAAAAAAAAAAAAACAGCTATCAGTTCAGTCAAGTAAGACTTTGGGGAGCTTGGTCAGGGAATGAACATGGCCATTCTCTTGATAGTAAACACTCCAAACTTAACAAGGAAGTTCTCCCTGTCCCTAGGGAATGAGGAACATTGGCGATTTGGTTCCTTTGGAGTTCCTGAGAAACAAACAGAATGGTAGCCAAGTTCATTATTAGGCTTTTGTGCGCTTCTTCATGCGAAATTTCAAGCCAGGAGGACGCATTTTGGGTGGCTGAATCCTTTCTGAAATGAGACAGGGAAAAAAAAAGATGAAAAAAAGGTAAGAGAGGATGTTCACATTATAGTGTAAAGGGATGATGGGTGGGGAAATAAAGCTATTTTTAAATAATCAGTTGGAGGGGCATGCAGGAGAGAGGCCATACTCTTACAGTAGATATCAGAAACAGCCAAATTAAGAAGAAGCTAAGACACAGGTTGGCATACAGTTATAGAAAAGAGACTGCAAAAAGGAGCAGCATTAAAATCTAGTAGAAGCCAGAGAGGGACTTATCAGTTGATTCAAGATAAACCACAGTCCTAACACTTCTGAATAATCTTCAAAAGCGATGGCTAGTTGAGGAAGGCAACTTTGCTATGGGTGATCTGACCGTTTAGAATTGAGAGAGTGTTGGGATCCAGGAAGAATGTATCCCAAGTGCCAAGAATTCTGGGAAGATGAAAAGACCACTCCATCTCATCAGACCAGCAGACTTATCTATCCTGAAGCTTTGGGATGCAACACAAGGGTTAAGTGATCCCAAGGATATAGACTTGAGATTTCCAACCAAGTCATCAGACCAAATCCTCCTAGTTCAACTCCAGATTCTAGGAAGGAGGAGGAGGAGGAGGAGGAGGAGACAAATGGACAAGAACTCTGTTGGAAGCCCCCTTTTAACTAAAAAGTTGAATTATCATAGTGTTTCAAATTGGCAGGCGGGACAAAGGCTGTACCTGAGCCCAGGAGAGGCCGCCCTATTCACCACATTAACATTTCAGCAGCCGTTTTGAAACTGGCCGCTGTTAGTGTAAAATCCAATGACTGGTGGTCCCAATGACCTGACCTGCATTTCTGTGTTGTGTGTAACTGGATGACTTTCACTAAAATTCTGGAACAGCAAATCTTTTCCTGCCAGCTCTCATTTTCACAGAGATGTGAGTTTCCCCCCCTACACTTCAGAAGACTCTGTGACTCTGCATTTGCCGGATTGAATGTGGGCTTTTATTGCTGGAACATCAGGTGCAAATCAGACAAACTGTCATTGCCTTCCAAACTCTCTACAACTTCAAAGTAACCCTCAGGGGCTTCCAGACAAGGCTTTTATTACAAAATCATCCTGGGCATCTTCACAGCATTTTATTCAAGCGATCCAGACATTATCATTCACCCTTTGTAATTTTCTTGGTTTTTTCATCACTCCCATCATTTTCTCCATCTTTAGTGGGGAAAATGTAATGACTGCCCCATGCCCATTGATTAGCACGCTGTCCAGAAATCCATGGGTGAGCGGTTTGCATGTATCCCAATGCAGTAGATGGGTTATTCCCAAGTAAATCTGCGGTCAAGGCTCTTCTCACTCAGCCCGAACATTGAAGGTTCCTCATTTGAAGAACTTTTTCACAAATAAACTCAGAAGTGGCAATGTTCATTGCGGAAGTGTCTCAAATGGTACCAGCTTTTTTCTGCACGCATCTCAGAAAAATAGCTGATGTAAACATGTGGTCTTCACTACTAATAATTGGGCATCATATCCCATTACGAGACACTTTGATCTTGAAATGACACTAACCAAGTACTATTTCAGCCTCTGATATTGTATCCTAATCACACACCCACAGCATTGGCAACGCATACGGTACAGACTTCCACTGCGTGTGCAGATCAAAGCGCAGAAGCACACAAATGGAAGCCTAAAGAGGGTACACATCTGAATCACAGACAAGGATAAACAATGATAGGCAAATCTAACAAATCACAGGCAAATATAAACAGGCAAACATAAACAAATGTGCAAATCCTACTTTAAGCAGTATTGTACAATGCTAACCTGGAATAATCTTTGATCTCTAAGGGCGTTGGGAAACCTGCTGATAAACACCATAGTTTTATAACAATCTAAATATTATTCTAGAGTGGAACAGTCACATAAAGAGGGATCTTACCTGAAAGCTGAACTTGGGAGCCAGCATGTTGACAAGCTTTCCTGATGAATCATCAGAGAAGCACCAGGTTCTTGCAGCACTCTCAGTCTTATTTTTCATTTAGCGGAAGTGATATAGAGTGACTTGCTTACCATCTCCTCTTAGATCTCCCAGAATCTAAGTTGTTTCCTGCTTTGCTCAGTGGATTTTCATACTATCCGACGCTTCCACAAATGGGCTCAACTTCCTTTCCTCACCCAACAACTCTCTCCATGTTATTTTGTTCCCATTGCGTTAAGGAAAATTACTTCTCTGTAAATATGTGGACAAATGTGTCTTTGCTGGGATAAAGCACTAACTTATTACTTCCACCTTCCAGCATGGCTTTAAGCGGGGCCCAGAGAAATCCTGGGGATGTTACAAGAGGGTCTAAGGGCACTTTCACATGGCACTGTTTCTACCCCCCAATTCCTCAAAGGCAGTTTCAAGCTCACTTGCTGATTGATCTCAAAATAAGGAGAACATGTTCAGAACCTAGTCAAACCATCAGTGCTCTCTGTCACTCCCTCTAATTGAACAATTGAAGCCTGAGAAAAGGCCTCAC